GAACTAGATGAGCCCTTAAGGTCCGCCCTTCTTCCTTCCTGCCCCGCAACACATCTGGCCCCTGTGCGTCCATTTATCCTTTCAATTTTGTGAGCCGCTAGTATTACAAAAGGATGGTTGAGTTTTCATGAAATTTTGGTTTAGTATTTAACTTTTATCAAAATTTCCAAACTTGAGATTCCAAAATTAAGATTTTGATTTCTCTGTGTTCTCCACTCTTCCTTGAAATGAGTCTGACACTTATTTTCGGACACCTTTCGACACATTTCAGGGAAGACAAAATCCCACTCTAGAATCAGAGATTTCCGAAGAGAACCAATTTTGATTCCTCTTTCTTGAGACAATTTTGTCTTAGGTACCAGAAAAATATATCAAATTAGTGAAAGGTAAGGCAAATTGGATTATGCGTTTACATGATTCACATGCAATTGTCTTGTTTCATTAATCAGTAAACATGTTTGGCATGCAAATTTATCAAAATTTTTGAAATAGCAATTCAACTAGGCATTCACACCAAAAATGACTCTAAATAGTTGAACAACCAACTTACACATTTGAATGCAATCTCGCCCAAATCAATCTTTCTTATAACCACTGAGCGCGATGACACTTGCTCATTGTGTGTAGTACCTGTCAATGAAGATATTTAAATACCGATTGGAAAGGTGGATGACACTTGTGTGAGGAGTTGACACACCACGAGGAAGAACCCAAGTTAGTGACACGATCATCAGTGAAAGTCTTTATTTAAAACTGAATGATGATGAAGTATCGAATCATCATGAGATCAAAATCACAATCGTCATTCAACCTCTTGCTCACCTACGCGCTGCTGACTAACGACCGTCACCACAACATATCACATCGAAGAATATTAAGTGTTTACTCTTGATGACGGGTCATTTTCCATTATGTATTTTCCTATCATTTCCTAAATGACAGGTACATCAATATGCAAACATTTTAATTTGTATACATTTCTTTTTCCTCAGTACTTGACCATAATGCACACAAATCAAAATATGTTAATGCTGCAGTTAATTTTTTTTATGAAATGAACTCACTAACTGCAACCCTGCTGCTGTTGTTGCATCAACCACCGTTGATCCTACTCTGATAAGCCACAAATAATAAATGATAATCATAATAAGGGTTTGCTTGTGCGTGGTGCAATAAAATGAAAGTACATATTTTTCCCTTCTGCTGCTGCTGGTTGGTACCAACTAAAAAGTCAGTACGGTACATTTGTTTGTTGTATGTTTATGAAACAATAACGAGTATGCTTCCATAAAATTTTTGTAGGATTAAGAGATTAGATCAATATGCATAAATCGAGGATGACAGAGCATTTGCAAAGCAGCAGGGTTACCAAAAGAAGGCAAATTGATAACGAATTTGTTTACAAAGAATGATATTCATGTGGAGACATTGCTGCTGCTGCTGCTGTTAGATGGATGGACTTAACAGTTTCCATTTATAAATATTCTGGGTGGATTCACACGTTCGAAAGAAAAATAAAAACTCATTGTTTTAAAAGAGGTTGCAGAATAATTCAAAATTATGATTTCTCCAATTGCAAAGTAAACGAATTTCTTTGTTGTTTTCCATGAAAGTTACAGTTTCTATATATTTACTCACTCTTCTTATCCCAATCTGTCAAATGTCAGTCAGTCTACTTTTCAGTTTTTTCAGAAATGTGATCTTTGATACCTTAAAATTTCATCACTCGTACTCTCAGCCAGCCATGAATGCTCGTCGTTTTTATCTTGTTAGCAAAGCGTACTTATCTACCACAAGTTTCATTATTATTTGAGTAGCATTTACTTAAAGTTTCTTGTATACTTCTTCTCATCGTGACGGACAGAAACCAATTTAGGTCATAATGAAATTATTATTTTTTAATTTCAAGTTTAATTCTGACAAGAAATGTATGCACTCGTTGCGTTGGTTTGGTACAGATATAGGGAAAAAGGGATGGGTCCGTCGGTTGGGAATTTCTTGGAACCGGATTTAGACTTGATGAAAGCAATAACAAACTATCATCTCTTGTCATAAGAAGCAAACAATACTAGAGGAAATTAGTGCCCTGTCTGTAATACAAATGCAGCTAAGCAGCAGCAGTCTGTTGCTTATGTAATACTTTTACTTGCCTAATGTCCAGCTGCCCGTCCAATTCTAATAAAAGTAAAATTTTCCTCCAGGGAAATGTCCATCCTAAAGTTATCGTTACGTAGAAAATAACTCCATTATGGAACCTGCATTACTGTTATCTTTTCAAAGATTTTTTAAAAATTCAAGTCTGACCACAAATTATAAAATTCGATCTTATCACCATTTATTGTCGGTTATGCAATATTTGTCTCTATATGTACACGCTGGACCATTAAACCAACAAGGAAAAGCATTTAAATGATTTGATTACAAGTATCCAATTTTTATGGACTCGCACAAGCTCAATTGCATACTAAACAAATATAGTTTCCTGTGTTTTTGCAATTTTTTCTACCCAGTATTTATTAATCCATGGTATGATTTAGTGAACTAGATTAATGAATAAATGACTCGATTAACCCGTGAGGCGTATGCTCAGCAAGCTTCTTTAATTTGGTTTTGGTTCTCAAGTTACATGGACATTTGAAATGTGGAAGATTGACTTATCAAGAAAATGACTAGGTTGCTTCCTCTAGGTTCCCAATTAGGATTGCACGACCACTTCTCGTACTGCTACGACCTATACTTATCTTTAATAGTATTGCTGCCTTTACCAATAGTAATCTTTGATCTATGTCTCGTCCTAAGCCCATAACCGAGTACGCTGTCTCTTTCTTAGAACTGTGTGTATCTACAAGAGCGATAATCGGAAGAAAAAGCGAAAAATTGAGAGCGATAAAATAATAAAAAAGTGACCATCCAGACTTTTCTAATGGTCATCATGCTTGATATCAAATAGGAAATCTGATTCTCAACAACTAGTCTGATTTTTTTTGAGCAGCTACACAGCGAAACTACCAGAAACAAGTTAAAAATGTATAAAATTATCAGTATCATGATCCAATAACAACATTAGAACACGAGTCTCTATCTCAAGCCCATTGTTTCTATTCAAAATTGAAGCCTACTTAACCACTTAGGTTCTCAAAGGAAAATTGAGTTGTAGATAATTGGTAGTGAATGACTTGTGTGATTTTATCCAAGGTGGTCTGTGTGCAAAGTATAGTAATGATTAGCTCATGTATCTTTTTAGATTGAACTTTTATTTCTACTTTGGTGGCATGGCGTGGAATAGAATTTTGTAATTGGATGTGGAAAAATATCTGCTAGATAACTTTAGAAGAACGTATTTATTACGTACGGAAGGAGGAATGGACAAAGTAGTATGAAGATAGATCATCATGCTGCTTATTCTTGGAGAGCATGCAAAGGTTGATGATCATAAGTGTAGTTTGGTGCCGGTCTTGCTGTCTTCAAATACTTGAAAATTTTGACAAACTAATGGCAAACTAATCCAGAATGGGAAGATAATGTTCATCATGCGATAAGTATGAGCATCACCTGGCCTCTGGTCTGTTTCTTCTTCTTCTTGACCTGACTGTTTCTGGATCATCGGTGGTGAAAGGGCATGATTATCGGGTTTCTCAATTGGATTGGATTTAAACAAACCTGTAATTTGTGAAGTGGAGGAGAACCACGTAAATGGAGGAGAAATACATAAATGTACATTATATAGTTTTCCTTTTTTCTTAAATCTAGAAAATCCTTACTTATGAATTTAGCCATTTACTCCGACTAACAAGGAGGTGGGACTGGAAATGAACAATCTGCTTATCAGGCCTAAGCTTGCCAGTGGGTTTTAACGGAGCATGGGAATTTTGAAGGATGATGGGAACAAGTGCCAGCTTTCAGACATTTGAGTGTTTTACCTGAGTTTGTGTGTGGTAGGTCTGTAAAAGTGAGGTATGGTTGAAATCGCTGTATTTTTACAAGCACATGGCGTGTATGGCATGTTGTATCTTTATCCCGTAAATATGAGTGTATGGGACTTGATAATATTTAAAAAGCACAAAGGAGTTAAAAATAAGGGCCGCTGAGACAATTGAGGAAACGAAAGTAATTTATTTTCCGACGTGCATAAAACCCCAGTAAAAATACTTGTGGGCTCAACCTCCTCCCTTTGATTTAGGTGTCGCACAGACGTATAAAACATGAAAATTCTCGAGTTTATTTGGCTAATCGGGAACGAGAGGAAGCTTAACTCACAATTTTAACAACTTTAACAAGACAGCAGACAAGTAATTTTGGGGCTTGTTCGTAGATTATTCAATTACTTAATGGTAGTTGTACCCAACAAGAAACGGGGGAGGAAGTACTAATCATCGTCTATATTTTTTGTCATTTTTTCTACAAAAACCTTTAGTCATCGCTTATTGGAGTTTTTAAGAAAAGTTGGTTTTTACTCTTTTCCACAGGTTAAAAAATTAGCAAATCGTATCGTAATTCTAGATAATTTAGTCATCTTATCTTACACATATCTCTCCTGCGGTGGGTTTGACTATCAAGTTACATAAACCTGCAGGGCAATTTTATTTTACAATACTTGAGGGAATTTGAGGTTTGGCTGTGCAATTGTTGGTATTTTATGCTATAGCTGATTAGCAGAGATTCCCAGATTAGAAGAAGTTTGCATGTTTAGTGGAAAATCATTTTGAGATATGAATCACGCACTCCAATAAAGTTGAACCGTGAACTTGAACTCACGAGTTGACTTACTTGGCCTGCCTTTTCTTTGCAATATGACCACAAAAAAATGCTGAACATGCAGTAATCTGAATAAATCTTGTCCATAAAATCAAATTCAATTTGCTATTTTTCAGAAAAATTCCAAGGAGAAAAAGTACAAGAAAACACTCCTTTCCAACTGAGAAACTTTGGGTTGGTTGGTTGATTAATTAACTAATCTTTCCCAATTCTCTATACATTTGGTAACAAAAGCAGAGTAAAATTGATATTAGGTCCTCATTCATAATCCATTGTTGTGGGTTGAGTAATTGAGCAGAATGCATTATGAGAGATGAAAGGGACCAATTGGCTGATTGCCTCCTCATCATTCGACGCAAGGTATTGGTAATGGTTGCATTGTTGTTATGTGATCGTCTACGTTTTCCATTCTCTTAGATTAGAGCTGCACTTCCTTTCTATTCCACCGACGACGTCGACGACGAAGACTTACCTGCACTCTTTACCTGCTAGACCTTCACTCTATACAAACCTGAGATTATTTATTATCTTTATTAGTTGTTGTTACAGATAGGATGTGGCAATTGAAGGTTGTTGTGAGGTATTGGATTCCATTCTTTTGTGCGGTTTCACTTGTGGCTGTGAACTATTTATTGTTTCGATGGAACGGGTTACGTTACGTTTTGCTTGGGTTATTATTATTACCCAATATTTGTAATGCGATCATCACCTTATATTTGCAGCTTTCATACTTTTGCTTACCTGACTCTGAATTTGGCCCTCAGGTCTGAACGCTGACCGACTGGAGTGGACCTTGAAGAATCGTAGTCATCAATTCATTTATCGGTGATGAGGGATGAAAAGGGAACGCCGCCGCCGCCGCCGAAAGAGATCCGAATATTATCCAGTTCCTCTCCTGCGTTTGAATGATGGGATACATTTCATGTGATGAAACCATGACTAACACATTCCGCTTTTGACTACTTATTACAGATCGTGAAGGGGTAGGTATGGGTTATCTTTTGATATGTGTAAGGCTCCAGTCGCATCATCCCAGCCACGCATAGCATAAACTGTTGTAAACAGTTTCATCGTTGCGTTGGCTTCGAAAGGTGAATGATTACGATTAGTTATGCATAACCCTTTTGTTCTTTGGATGCAAGAGGAACGAATCGAGGTGACTTAAAATGGAGCTGAAATTGCCGAAACCCGCACCAATTATTTGCCTCTTCTTTAGATGGAAATGCATAGATAGTGATATTTAAGAAGGGTGGAATACGTACGTATCATGATTTCATAAGCTGTTACTTCCTCCCCTACCTGAATACTTAATAATGCTTGACCTATCATCACTAAAATTATATTCTACCCATTTTCCATTCTAAAATCATCACTCTAAACTGAAAAAGCTTCTGAACATTTGTGGAAGAGCCTTAAGATTTAAATTTTAAATTGGTTTTAGATCCCGATAACCATCAATTTTGGATTTAATCCATATTTTCTTACAGCTCAAGGGCCCTTCGTTTATCTGTAATGATAGCCATCGCGTGACGTGGGAGAAAAGAGAACCCTTAAGATATTTGCCCAACTACTTCAACGCACTGTTATTACTTGTGGCTTGCGTTAAATCACATTTATTACCTCCCTGAATTAACGTGTGTGTGGTATTTATTTCATTGTTACGTCCGAATATGGTGTAGATCGTGGTGAAAGGAAAAGAAGACGGATGTTGAGTATTATTAAGTGACTAATGTGTTAATACGTCCATTTCCCACCCGGCATTCGCAACCTGGTTAGAGACTCGGCTCAAAATAGATAGTCATGATTTTTACGGAAACATTGACCGCAATAATTTTAGTATTCAGAACAAGAACGTAAGTATTTAGTTCGACATCTTGGTTCGTGTTGCATCTTTCGACTTCCTTACACAAAACTGCATCACGCATGCACCTCTCTCAAGTCACTCTTTCTTAAGAAGAAGAAAATTCATGACGGGTTTCTGTAATTATCGTCATTTAGAACATTTTATCTCTGTCCGTGTGTGTACTTCAAACATATTTGTGCCACACACCACTCCAAAAATAAAGGAGACGAGAGGCTTCAACTAATTATCACTGTATGCAGCGAGTTGAATGGTCACTAAAAAAAGAAGTGCAGCTGCAGTTTGTTTCATTTTACAAGCCTCAAAATTTCCGTCCCGATTAATGCAATTATATTTAAGAATTTTTCTAATGCGAACTTTCCCCTCCAGCTCTAACTAAATTAACAAGTTGGGCATATCCACTGTACTAAATATTCATCCAATGTGTAAATAACGCAGACTGGAATTTCTCCAGAGGCGGTTGATAAAGTAATTCATATTTGATGTGTATTTGTTGTTCGTGGGCATTCCCCAAGCTCCCAGAAATTCTAGTCCGCTTCATTCTTCGTCTTATTCATTCCTTGTGATATGCGAAAGAGCTGGGAGGAAAAAGCAATATTTTATGAGTTATGAGACTGATGGGTCATACTCAATCATTTCGTCGATACCATCATCACATGAGCGTATGATTGAGCTCTGGTTTATTCTTCCCTGATGGATACAAATGGACGATCGTTTATCTTTATTTTTCGAAATCCCTTGATTAAATTAGACGGAGACGGATGAACCTGGAGAGAGAGAAAGAGTTGTGGTTAGCGTTGCCGGTAGCTGATCCGACCAATCCTCTGCATTATTAAAGAGATCTCGGAGCTTGTTGTGGGGTTCAAGTCAGTCACTCGAACGAACGCAGTAAACAAACAAGAAGCGTATTATGCATACGTATGTACATGTTTTTTAGCTTCATGGAGTCGGTCAGTGTTTTAAGCGTATGAAATAATATGGCATGTTTTTTTAGCTGGTGCACCGTATCGCTCAACCCGTGATAAATCAACAAGGTAACCGATTACGTATATTACCTACGCGTTGTTTGATGTTTTCCTTCAACTTCAATTTTCTTATCCAGAACTATGTAGAACTCGTACAAAGATGTTCCAGAGAAGCTTGTGTACATGTAGAAAATTCTACTCCGACTCCAGCATGCCCCACTCTTGTAAGTGATTGTTTATGATGATTAGCTCCTGATATGATTTGATACCATCAACAAAACCAAACAAAATTTTTGTTGAAGTAAACGAGACGTGTGACTGATGATATGGTGGCGAAGAGACCTTCATCGCCATATTTTATACATTGAAGAAAAAAAAGATTGGCTCCCGTCTTTTAAATCCTGCAGTGATTGTAATTCTGTTTACACGTATTTTCTTTTTGGTTTAGTTGGAACAGGAAAAAGGGCTACATTAATTTAAATTATGATCAATCCTGACCCGCCCTTTTACTTATTTGTGAAGATGGGAAGAAGTAAGTAAGTAAACGTAACGTAGTAGTACGTTTTTCAAACATTTATGGTTATGACACTAATGTGCATAGCTTTAGTTATGAATTTATCAAGTTGCTGTAGTTCTTGTAGAACAAGAGGATGCGGGTAAAAACAACAAACTGTCTGCACGAAGGTTTAAAGAATTTGTGTAAAATTTTAATAAAAAGTAAACCTTTGAACACTAATGAAACGGACTCGTGTATCATTTTCCATTCCGCTGTGTGCATGGATCTTGTTAGTTCTCTGATTTAATATTCTGACCGTTTCTAATCTAACTTGCAGATTGCATAGCGTGAATGAATAGACACATCTCTTCACCAAATAATAATGCACCTGATCAGCATTATCTCATCGATTATTATTATATTAGTCTGCGAGTAGGTTTGGATTTCCGTCCGTCCCGGTGGTACCTTGCAGCGCGTTGATTGACAGACATGAAAGCCAAGAACAAGAAACTTATTTCTGGGACTCTGTACAAGCAGTGGTTTTGGATTTTGGTCGAGTGTCGTATCATGCCTCACGCAATGCCACCCCTCACTCAGCAGCTAAAATAAGCCTTTTTGAAAAGTTTGAAACACAGTCAAGTGCGGCATGAGAGACGGACGACGGACCCTTTAAGAATTGAGCTTCGATCTGCCTGTCAGGGCACATGTGAAGGATTCTCTGTAGTCTGATATCCTTGTGTGCAGTATGTATGTAACACTTAACCAGGATAACTTTCATTTCACTCGAGTAACCTTCAGCTACTTTTGTCCGTGGGGATATCATTGTGGTTTACGTGTGGAGAGGGCAAAAGCTAAATTTATTGCGTTTTATGATTTACAACCAACTTTCTAAAATCATTAGAGACGGGAGTCGGGTTGAGGCGAGTCACATTCTCAAAATTTTGAATTCCACAAAATATTTGCGAAATGGATGGCTACTTTCGAATTTATGATGCCCGAATCGTGTCCAAAATTTTGTATCGTATCAATAACACTGTTTCTTCGGCTGGTTAGTGCCAGGTTTTTAGGAATGCATGCACGAAGGTAAGTCTGCATCCCACACCACACCACTTGATGACATTTGAACCTCCGTTTGACACAAGGCTTTAAGCGAGGTCCATAAAATGCTCAAAGTGAGTAAGCTGAATCCACTTTGGGCAGGCCTTCAGGTATCGTATGTCCCTACAGCTTTAAGTGGAATGGATGAAATTCTCTCCAGACAAAGTAATAACAATATGTGCCGAATAAAACTCGCATCTTTCGTATTCTGGTTGCAATTCTGCCAAAGAATGACAAGCAAACTAAACAAAACAAAGTCACAAGTCAAGAGGTACAAGAAGCGGAAATCCTTTTCGCATTGTTCACCCGAGAGCATGGAAGAAATAATAATAATGAAAAGCAGGACTAAAACCCTTTAACGTTTCGCCTTGTGTGCGCGACTTTATCCGATTTGGCGTTGAATGAGGGAGAAAAAGGAGCCAACCCTTTCTGCTCGGAAGAAAAGACGATTAACAACCAAAGACAAGACATCTGCTAGCACTGCTAAGACGCCTAATGCTGCTTAAGCCCACCAATTTTTGAGATTTGCCTTCAATTATGAGTTGCTTGCAGATGGTTCTTGTTTACCAGATATTTGCCAAGAATGGGAAACATGGGATGTACTTCAAAATTCAAGGATTCATTGTGTTTCATTTTCGGTTCACTTGGCTGGGATGATTTGACGTTTGGAAAGGCACAGATCAAAACCAGGGGCTGGAAATTTTAGGAGCGATGTTTTGCTACCCGACTGCTTAATTTCATGCTAAAAACAGGACTCGTGTGGTGGCACGTATGCAATTTTGCACGTTCTTGTTTTTTATGGAAATTGTTGTTATTATAATGCATCTCTCTGGATTAGTGCGTCATTGTACTTGTATAAATTCATGAATATTGAGGAAGTCTGTTCATTATGCCAGACAGACTGATTGTTACAAGTGAGTTGTAGTACGGTGATGGTCTTCTGCTCAACTAAATATATAACCCCATTACTACGTGGCTAGATAATTCCACACGAAAATCCAAAAGTTTTGTCCGTTTCGTGGTTTCCTGTAACACGGAAATATCATTCTACTTCCTGTTGTACTCAATTTGTCATTACATAACGAATTCCAGACCTCGTGTGGTTCATTAGTAAAATTCGTTCAGACAAGATCCGACTACTTTGTCAAAATCAGAACCTATCAGTGTAAAACTATTGGATTTGTGCAGTTTTCAAGCGAGAAAACATGAGTTTGGCATCTTTACTATGGTACTTTTCTATTCTGGTGTTGTGGACGTCTACAAGTGGAACAAGTGAAGAAGATATTCCAGCAATTTTTATGGCCGACGAACTTGGATTGGGGGCTAAAGGAGTCATGCGCTACTTAAGACATTTGATAGAAGGGATTGACAACGTTGGGGATTTGGATGAGTGGGTGGGATTTATGGAGGTATGAAGATTATGATTTTATTCTCGTCCAAGTAACTGGGACACTTATTTATGAGTAGTTTTGGTCGATTTATGTATTTAGACATACCTCGCCTGTGAAGATGCTGCCTGGCCGTACAAATCGGATCAGGAACAGAATGCAAAAACAGATTTAGAATTAATCAATGAATTTTGCACGGATTGGCAAAAGAGGTGGAAGTGTGGAAATCTACTTGCAATAAAGTTAGACACTTTGTATGAGCAGAAAAATGGACAACTTCGAACTGGGTCGGACGCCCTCAGATTTTCAAACAGCTATGTTCAAATCATATGTGAAGATCGTAACAAGTATTTGAGTAAGTTTCGATAATTTGAAACATAAAGATTACTTTTTCATATTTAACTAATGGAAAATTATTAAAGGTGTTTTGACAAAGAATTCATCAACACATGCGGATAAGCGATCAATTAATTGTTTCGCTGAAAGTCAAGCCAACATCCACGACTGTGTTTTACAGAAAAGTCATGATCTAGTCAAAAAATACAATTCTTGCACGTACGTCTTTATCCCAATTTTACTTTAATAAAATTTTCACCTGATTTCACCTAAATTTTTAAACTTTCAGGAACCTTAGAATCATACACAACTGTTTCTTATCCGAAATGACGAAAGCCTGCCCCAAGTCGATCTCTCATTGGATTAACAAATCTTTACAAAGAATAAAATCTGACTTGAGTTGCTGACTTCTCGTCAATTATTTATGCACTTATTTACATATTGTCTGTGATGTAATTTTAATTTTTAACCAAGAGTGAAAGTTTACTCATCAATATGAAGCCGACAGAAGAATAAAAATCATAATTTTAACAAGAAGCAGAATTAAGACGATTTTACATATCATATCCTCAAATTGTTGTTTATTCCCAGAAAAGTAATTACTTTTCCGTCAATCATATCACATCTTTGACTTTGAATCGGCATCATCTCTGGTGTGAACTATGGCTTATGAATCACGTTAAGAAGAAGACGAATCTCGTTAACATTTCATTTCAGAGGAGATTGCAAGAGAGTGAGAAATCAATTTAAAGAACACACTTCAATAGTTAAATTAAACTAAGGATAAGTAATGGCATATGGAGAAATTATTGTGCACCCAAGCTCGTCCCATCAAAACTCATCACTTTCTTCATTCCTTATTCCGCTGCTGACAACGACACGACAACAATCATTACATTATTCAATATTTAAATTTTGCTATGTGAGTTCCGCTTCGATATGATATTGATGATTTGGTTAGATTATTATTTGGCACAGTTGAATGAATGATTCGTCTGTGAGTACTTGCGCCAGGGGGCAAATTCGGTTTCATTTCATTCCTTATTGTCACTTTTACTCTGCATGGTTAACCACAGCAAATCCATGCTTGCAGGCAACTCTTCAATCATTCCGCAATTTCCTGTTTAGAGTTTCAAATCGTATTAAATAAATTTTGTACCTAAAAATATTTCCATATTTCAAAGCGATTGGTGTGACATGTACAAAAGGAAGTGGAGGTGGAGGTCCCGTCATGGGTGAATGATTGCACATTGGAAAGTCAATTTCTGTGAAATGTATCAAAAACTCGAATTGAATTTCTTCAAGATTCTTAGAATTACGTCGTCAAAAATCAAATCCTGTTCCTGAAATATCTTTGAATCTTTCACGATTTAGCTTACGAGCACATGCTTCAAATAACCTGCACCTTGCAGCCATTGTATCATTATTTTGTCCACTTCATTACAACACAATGGTTTCATGAGATAACAATATTGTTTCGTAACCGAGCCACAACTAACCCATTCACACCGCAGACAAAATTAAAACGCATTCCACACATCCTTGTAAACTGCACCGCATCTGTTTCTGATTGGAAATTTTGACTGGATCTGACTCTGAAATGAAAAGTCATAGTCCGACAATCGGACAAGTGAGCATCCGACTGATTGATGAGATTGGTGCCAAAGGGGTAAGTTTATGCGGTTCATTCATGCATAAATCATCCCAACATGCATGCATCACTTGGTTTGGACTCATCATCACCATCGTGGATTGGTATTCGTCATGAAGGAATCGTTCGTAGTCTACCAGTTTCGTTGCTGGAATGGAATTCAGTCCAATTTTTAAGAAATACTTACAATAACTACGTATTTGTATTTAAATATATGGAATTTTTACTAGTTTCAAGTCACAGAAAAGTAGGCAAGATACGATTTATAATCCTCATAATGTTCAAAAATTCCAAGATATTACGTTACTAAAAAATATTCCAAGTTATCTTAAAATGTTGATTGTAAGCTGAACCACGCAGATCAAGGAGACGATTTAACCCTTATTTTACAATTTAGCTATCAAAAACTGTGGTGTCATCATCATCATCATCTCTCTCTCTCTCCTCCTGCATTCCTTCACTTTAAACCTACGCTCAAGATTCAAAAGCTAGCCAACTTACGTATAAAACCACTCATTCCGTCGTAAGTAATGAATGACAACCAGGCTGTGACAGTTGAAGGGGCAGCCTTGTAATTACCGAAGGAAGGAAGATGTGAGTAAAATTGTAGGAATTAAAACGAATTAATAAAAAGTTAAAAGGAAAATGTCTTCATCAAGTGCCTTTTTACCCGATGAGAGCTTATACTTTTTAACCTGAGTAATTTTATTATATTTCGAGATTTAATCTCTTTATTCCTTCTTTATCTCTGCTCACTCACCGTACCGATGACCAGATCAGACTGGGTTTTGTGGTGGTGACCAAGGCAGAATGAAGTGGCGGTTTTCACCAGCATTATAAATATTTCCTTCGCCATTGGAATGCAATTTAAAACTTATTTAAATGTAAAGAAGTCTATTCAAAAACATGCGCAAGGATTCTTTCAAAACTAAATAGTAAATAGAGAAGATTTAAACATTTCAGATCTACATATCTCTAAATTCATGACATGAAGATGAATACGATGGCATGATTTGTTGCCCAGTGTCGCAATTTGCTATACTAATCTGGATGTTGTTGTAATAATTTGGTGTGGGGGCGTGAAGAGAGAGTTTTTGGGCGTAGGTTGTGTATACGATATGTATTTATGTAGATTGATTTCTAAATAAAACATAAACGTTTGCCATGTTTTCGCACCAGTTTGCATGTGTTTTATTAAAGCAGAATTTTAAGACAAATCAGAACAGGAAGCATAATAAACAAGAGATTACGTTATCAAAATTCCATTTTTCATGTACTCTAGATATGCCTCGTATTACAGAAATATTGAGATTTGTTCTGATTCTTTAAATGAAATCGGTTTTGTAATACAGTAGTCGTGACGAGCTTTCTCGACTCGAGAGATAACTCCTAATTGCATGAGATGAAGTAAAAAGCAAACAATAGAATTGGCTTAGCATAAACTTTGTACATGTTGTTTATCTTGTGTTGTTGTGCAAATTAAAATCCCGTTTTTTTCAAGTGAATTATTTGACATGGAATCTGATATCTAACTTAAATTCTGTCCTAAAGAGTGGTTGGTGGTCTTGTATGGCATGTTCCTCTTTCAATCTTCATGGCATTATTGTTTTGATAACCGTTAAGTTGATAACTTTTCTGTCACAGCAAACACTATCGTCATACCCTCGAAAATAATTCAGTTGACTTCCCATCATTCAATTTTCTCTGAGTGAATTTTGACATTGAAAGTTGTAAATGAGAGGTTGTGACAGATTTGGTGGGGATGTCTAATGTAATCTGATTTGATTAACGGAGTGACATTATGACCGATCTGAGAGCGGGCTGAGCGTCACGCCAGTGTTGAAGAAGACAAAAGCGCAGCCAAATTTCCACTGGCAATAAAGGTGACATCCTTTTATACGTACAAACACGGCAAAAGCCACACAACTGTCCACATTACGATCATTCTTCCCTTCCCAACCAAACCACCCACTCAACTCGAAGGCCATAAATATTATGAAACACATTTCATTTTTGTAGCGAAATCGTATCAATGAAATGAAATTTGGGTAGATGCAGAGATGACAATGACACAGTCAACAAGCACAGTAGCCAACAGAGACCTTTGACAATAAACAAAGTCGCAGTGCAATGAAATCTGCTCCATTATTATCATCAATACGAAACCTATATATTACATCCCACAAACTACCAAGTACCACCACCTCCCACGCAACTTCATGTATATTCACTACATTTTGGAAGAAAACGCACTTAAATCTGAGCAGCTTTGGATCGGTTTGTGGTTTGTGTGTGTGTTTACCATATTTTTGTCATTTTAGGCTTGAGTGTGATGGATGATTTTGAGGATTTAGTGGCTTACTTGCATTTCATATTTATTATACTTGGGTCGCACGACGATCTGTGCGCGACGCGTGGTCGTCGCCTTCATCTGGTGTATGTACGTATAATAATGGAAGAGATGCTTTTCAATATTTATAATGTGAAACACCATCATTTTTGTTACAGTGTTGGTGGGCAAATGTAATGAGAGGAAGAATGCAGTGGGGTCTGGCTTATTGAATGAATTTTAAATGGGAATATGTACATGCACTCCGTTAAATGATGATAGTTTAGAGGGAAAAATGATACAAAAGTTGACAGAGAGACGTCAAAGGTACAAAGTTACTTCCTGGCATATATTTTCTATAGTTTTGAAGAAACATTGTGAGATAAATGCTCTACGTGAGGTCAACCAATACACAATTCCCAGTTTCCCAATACGCGTGCTGATTTTAAGCGTCGTTCTATATGTATGCATCCATTTGTGAAATTTGGAGGCATAATTGTTGACCAGTTCAAAAATTTCAAAACATTTAAAAAGAGAAAGCTACATCGTATTACATAAAACAATTTGCTAACCTTGGCCCCTCTCCTCCGTCAGTATCGAGGCTTTACATAATCACCCAATTTTAAACTTTAAACTGAGGAGAAAGTCGTTTCCGAAGTCTGGGCGAGTATAATCGCCTCTAGTTGGAATTTAAGTACGTATACACACATACAACGCATTATTATGTGTGGCTCGCTTCGTGCGGTATTAAGTTCAACGAGTGAACATTAGAGAAAGTAAAAGGAAGAGTGTTTGTGGCAGATTGGAAATGCGACATGAAATATTTATTCTAAGTGCTGGGGGAAATTTCCCTGTCCAATGTTTGAGTTTTGAGCAGAGTTTGAGAACTTGGATGGAATTTGCAGTTGAATTTTTGAAAGTCCCAAGAGTTCCGTTTCCAGCTCCTCGATGCCTCATCAACATCGGCGTCCTCTTATGAGATCGAATGAATGTCAAATACGTAACCCTTTGACTCAGCACAACTGCAATAAGCGTACATATCGTCGTAGTAGAAGCACTTTTACTTGTGCCGTGCCAACCAACTTTTGCCTTGCTTTCTCACCAACCAACGCACGTCCACGTTCCCGAAATATCTACAGTTCACAAAATCCGTTGTATACGAATAGAAATATTTATATGAATGCTATTTATATGTACAAATATCAGTGCGTTGGCGACAAACACTTCAAAACTACAAGAAAACTACTACGGTTATGTTTGTTTGTGGTTTCCTTGATTTACATCTAAATTTGCATCTCTTTGATTTATAATTTATAAATTTGGCACGTCACTCGAAATTGCATCTGACAAGACTTCCTTCAAATCGGGAAGGGAAATGGGAAGGAGTCAAGCTGGGGAAATTGACTGGACCAATTTTCAACTGTGTCACTGTTATTCGTTTTAGGAGAAAGATATGAATCTGATTTCGGCGACAGGTGTCACTTATCAAGATTGTGGTTAAAGATTCTGCGTAGGCGGGGTAGATAAGTGAAAATTCAGAAAATTTCCATCAACGAGGGAGGCTAGCAA